ACTATCCTGATGTAGACAATTTCAAATGGGAAAAAAAATCATTAAAGGGTTTACATAGAGTGGCCAAAGAGATCTGAAGCAACTATCCTGATATAGACAATTTCAAATGGGAAAAAAAATATTCATTAAAGATCCACTTCAAGTACAAAAATTCAAAGAAACTGTCCATACAGGCTCTCCCTCCCCAACCTGTCATTGGAGGGGGTTGACTGGATGCACATATGTATTATTCCACAAGTCATGATTCCTTGCAGCAGATAGTTAATCTGGAGGGGGTTGACTGGATGCACATATGTACAGTATTATTCCACAAATCATGATTCCTTGCAGCAGATAGTTAATGAATTTGACTGTTGTGAATTTTCCTCCATCAAGATAATGTCAGGTTCCTTTTTCAAAAACTTGTTTGGATATTTGGTACATATAAAATCTAACTTTAGTGGATTATCAAGAACAATCACCTGCCTTGAAACAGCTGGAATGGAAATTAGTGATACACTGAAAATTGTGAAACAAACTGAGGGTGATTTAAAGTGCGCAAAGGGGAAAGTGGCTGAAAAAAATAGTGATAAACTTCAAAGAGTGCTGCAATCTAATCTGGGTTAGTCAGCACTTTGCAAAATAAGTAACATTCTAAATGGACTCAAAGCAAAATTTGATGATTTTGAACAAGAATTTTCTCCATATAAATGGTCTTTTTTCAAATTTGTTCCTATAATCTTTTGTGATGTTGAACAGAGTTTCTCCAGATACAAGAATACACTGACAGACAACAGAAGGAGTTGTGACTTTAATAGCCTCAATATGCACACGGTAATCCAATGCAATTCTGCTGTTGACGAAAACTAATCCAGGTATGATCACTTGATCGTTCATTTGATTTCGTCAATACTAGCAATACTAGTTGACTTGGAAATGTTACCTTTTTTGACTTGGGGGAATTCTAGAAACTATAATTCCAAAAATGAGTATTTTAATACTCTGCTATAATCTTGTCTCTTTTGTGTTTTAGGAATTTTCTAGTGATCCAGAATCTTGCATTATTTCTGAATTTTTATTCCTAAAGCATGGAAGGTTTCAGTGTTTTGAAAAATAGCATGTTTAGCATTTTGCGAGTATTTTATTTTTGGGTCCTGTAGATCAGCCCACTAGGAATTTAGTATGTTGTGTGATTGGTGGATTAAAGCTCAAAGGGTGCATGAAATAGGCAGGATTGGCCTAAAATATTTTGCTGTCTAAGGTGGCTTAGCACAGGGTATGTCTGCACTTTAGAGTCATGGCACATGTTTTCCAAGCTGTTCTAATACCCGAGACACTCAAAAACACACCTCACAATAATCTCTATAACCTTCCTTGCCAGTCAAACTACGACAACAATAAATTAATAACTAATGTTATTTAGAACATATTTATTGGTTCTATTATTTTTAATTTTGTAATGCCACCCAGAGTAGACCCAGTCTAGATGGGTGGGGTATAAATCTAATAAAATAAAACAATAAAGCAATAAAGCAATAAAGCAATAAAGCAATAAAGCAATAAATAAATAAATAAATAAATAAAATGTGAGGATTTCTATGACCTAAATTTTTCAGAAATATGCAACCATTTATGTTCTTAAAATCATTTAATTATGACCAATTAAGCCCAAAATACGACTTTACAAATTTTCTGAAATTAGCACCCAATTTTTAAAAATCTGTGCTCATGCACACATGGAAAAATTAAAAGATGCATTCTTCTTCACTTCAAAAGGCTTGGAAATAGCAATAATAAATCAATAAAATGGTGGGGGAAGCTAAAGGGAAGAGCAATCCACCAGCTCAATGAAAGCAGAGTGTAGGTTAAGGGTGGGAAATCAAGGCAGGAAGGATGAAATGGAGCACCTTGAATACTGGACAACAGCACTTCACACTGCAACATTTAGTTGCAGGCACTGCTTGTTTCTATGATTGCAGAATTCACTGATGAAATCCTTCTCAGTTAGTCTTTGCCTATCAGACTTCTAGTTAAAACATGGCTGACACATTCTTATTCCAAGAATTGCTTAACACAGATATGTCACAAATTCCAGAACTAAGGGAGTGCCTCCTCTCAAAGGAACTTGAAACTCTGACACTGCAATGTAGGAACAGAGTCTCAGTCTAAACTATAAACTACAAAGACAATATATTTAAAAAGCAAGGGGGTAACCACACCCAGAGCCACCCCATTGTGGGTTCTGTTGTTTCAAAATCTGAACCTACCGTGGCTAGAGATTTTTATTTTATTTTATTCACATATAACAAAACTCACCAACATCAGAGGTAAGTGCACAATTTAAAAATAAAGCAGAACTGTTGGGGTTCAGATGCATAAGGCACTAAAAGTATTACTGGTAGAGCCTCAACATCTAAATATTTTTCTTCTGCTGCATAGAGAACATAGGACTTCAATTCCCCCAAATTCCAAATATCCCCCATGTCCCAGTGAAAGCTTTCTCGTTCAGCTTTGTACATAGTTATGAACAAATGAGTTTCACCAGATCAAAGGCTTATGTGGTCCACATGCCAAACAAGCTTGGTGTGTGGGCACCCACAGCATCCCATGGCCATCACTGGCTCTATGCCCCACCCCCATGCAAGCTGCCATGATACTAATGGAAGTCCTGATGCATATCAGTGGCATGGGATGCTTTAGCCCCCTCCTCCCTCAGAGTAAAATTACTCTGAAGCAAGGTATGCATGCATGTGGGTAGGCTGCAGCCAAGCTGGCCCTCAAGACCAAAAAGACCACGGACTTCTGCTTCACACTCTTGCTAACAGCAGATAGTTTTAGAGCCAATTCTGATCCCTAGGGGTTGCAGCTGGTTAAATCTTCAAGCCAACCATAGGAAAGTGAATAGTGATAGAACCCTGTTTATCTATGACAACAGAGTCTGTCAGTGGGTCATTCTGAAGAAAGGAGAGGGCCAGGCCTTGGGACCAGTATCTCACAGTTGCTTCTCAAAATGGCCCCAGAAAATGTCATGGTAGGCATTTCAGAATACATCGGAAGTCAGGATACATTGGAAGTTTCCTACACTGGACATATACCAAGAATATATACATCACTGCACAGAAGATGGGGTCATGAACTAGAGTGCTGACATGTGAGGTACCAGCAAGCGAATCAAACTGGAAAAAAACATGCAGCTGCCATGGAAGTTAACAGCTACCTACAGATCTCCCGTCTGCCTCCAAATTATCAAGCAGAATTGATCTTGTGTCCATCTGTCGTTGCAATGTGTACTACCTTGCCCTTCCTCAAACTGTGACTGTTGTAGACAAGAAGCAAAAATATATTCTGCCAAAGGGGGTAGTAAATGCCACAGTTTGGGATTCATTTTTACTACAACTCCCAGAAGCCTCAGCCAGCATTGCCACTGCTATGCTAACTGATGGATTCTGGGAATCGTAGTCCAGGATCTGCTTTTCAAACACTGAAAAATAATCTGACTCAGCACAAGGATCTTACTATGTTCAATGGGCAAACACACCTCCAATAATTCCCCCCCCCCAGTTCCAGCTGTCACATTCAGGCTTCTAGTCTTAAATTCCTACTCTTACCTCCTTCTCACCTGCAGCATCAGAGTGAGAGATGACAAAGTCCAGAAAACATCTGCACTAACTTGTAGAATTAAGTATAGGTCTCCCAGATTTGAAAGGAAGGGACATAACTTAGTGGTAGCCAAAACACTTTGCATGCAGAAGGTCCCAGCTACAATCTTGCATATTTTCAGGTAGCCTGTACTAGGCAAGAAGAGCCAAAGGTATCATTTGGGGAAAAGCCAGTCTGCCATGCTTTTATGATGTCCATCAAACGTTTCATATCCAATGCATCCCTCATTTCCAACTTCTGACCCACCAAATGTTTTTGATTCCCTTTGGCCCCACGCTGCATGGGACACTCCACACTGGAGGGACAAACATCAACATCCCACAACACTCCTCAACTCTTATAAAACACCTTTCTCGGAGCAGGGAGAAGACAACGCCTTTGGTTTAACCAGTTTCAGTCTCACTGCAAGCAGTTAAACGCCTTAAGCAATTAATAAAATAATTAATAACAACAATATATATTTTAATTATACATTCACATCTCTGGGCTCCAACTAACAGATCTCTTTCACAAAGAAGGCACTATTGTCCCTTCTGGAGTTAGCCTTCTAAAGCAATTCCTTCCTTGCAATTTTGGGAGAGGGTAGTCATCCCCACTTTTATCTGCTACTAATCTGAGGTACTGTCTCTCTCCCTCTCCTTTTTTTAATCAACAGCTCCTGCATCGGAGGCTTTGCAAGAAAGGCCCCACCTGAATCTCTGCCTTCATCTCCATCTTCCAAGCAGGGTTCCCAAATTAACTCTGCCCCCAAAACAACACACCCTTCCTTCATCTAGCCAACGCCCACAAAAGGTTAGTTATCTTCCCATCTCCCAGAATTAAGGATATTCCTTAAAATGTCCCTCCAGAGTTCAATGCGCCACCTGGGCACAGAATATGGGCCTGTGATATTCGCGATTTCTCTTTTTGGAGAGGGTCTCGAACCCACTCCCCCCACTCCTCTCTTATTCCAGTTTTGAGTAAACCCCCGAGGCCTTGACGTTGCCGCTTAAGAGCACAAAAAGCACCCGGGATCCCAAACGGATCTGAGTGGATCGCGCATTGTGGGAAGCCTTTTCCCTCTCCCCTTGGCCATGCCTCCTCGGGAGGCAGCTCGTTGGCGGGATCCTTCTCCCTGTCCACGCTTTCTCGCGAGGGGGGCGAAGGGGGCCCGCTGCCTCCGGACAGGAACTTTTGGAAAACGGGGAAACAACTTTTCCTACCATGACTTTTAACACTCGTTTTCCCAACTCCCTTTCGTCCCGGGAAATACTCTCGAGTCCGATTTACGTTTGCGGGCTCTCCCCTCGACCTACCTTTCCTTTTCTCCCAACTCCCCCCCCCAAACCCCACATATTTCGGCGGGCGCAAATCACACTCACCCCACCTGGACCGCCGGTTGCGCGGGAAAGGAAAAGTGAAAGGGGCCCGAGCGACGGCCGCCGCGAGAGGGAAAGTTCTCGGCTTCTTCTCCTTTTACTTCAAACCCCACTTCTCCATCTTTTGAAGCCTCGCCCCCGAGATCGGGAGCGCCGTACGTTTGCGTTGAACCGGCCCTTTTCTCCCATGGGGTCGGGGGAGTGTCTCAGCGCCCTCTGCGGAAGCCGCGCGGAGCCTGGATCCCGTCGTCCGGGCTGAGGAGGAGCTTGTGGATCCGTTGAAGAAATCGGAGCCGATACATTTCAGTGCCCAGCGAACTCTCCGAAGGCAACGGGGCGTGAGGCTTTCTTAGGCCGCTGAGAAATCGCGGACATAAGCTCGCTTTCGACCCTGCAGGGTCAGGGTGTTCTTGTTGTTAAACAAAGTACTGTCCACAGCTCTGTGGTGATCAGCTCGACGAAGACCACAGAAGTCAGCTTATGTCTGGGATCTTTTAATGGGCTAAAAAAGCCATCCTTGCCTTCATATTGTTTACAAAGACCACAAGCCTTTTCTGTCATAAATGTGCATACTTGTAAAAGCAGAACCACAGGGGGAAAAAAGCACCCTTTTTAAAAGTTGATGCATATTCATGATAGCAGGGGCGGTATCTGCCCTCGGGGTGTGCAATCTGTTTATAGACAATAATTTTTTAAAAAAACATATCTCCACTTGAGAGCACACTTGTGGTTTTTCAAAAGCTTTAATCAATTAATCATATGGATTGATCAAATGATACATTCCCAAATAAATGGCAATGTTCTTGTATAAGTTGTTAGAACGCCTTTCCTAAAATTGGAAACACCCTGAATTTGTAGTGTCATATGTGCTTTTCTTTCTCATGTGAAGTGAGAGGAGCTTCCAATATCCCCATGAAATCATGAAGTAAATGGAAGTAGTAAAAGGGCCAAAGCAACTTCCATATACACACAAGAGTGGATTTTTGCATACCAGCTTTAAAGAAAAAGAAGACATAGGTGGTGGAAGAAGAAACTCAAGAACTGACCATGATAAACAGATCTGAGGTCCAATGCCCATCATAAGTAAATTCATACCAGGATCCATAAGTAAGGTAGAATGAGCTCAGAGTGTTGCTTTCAATGAACAAATTGAGATGGTATAGCATCTGATAAACTCTAGCAACATGTGTGAACCAATATCACCCTGATATGGATATTTAAACTATAGAAACCAAACTTGGAATAAATTTAAAAAATGCAGAAAAATCTCAGCCATACAGTTGTATACAAGTGTAGTTTTCACGTTAAAGCATATCTAAATTGCTACAAGAAAGATACTCTTACAAAATGATATAAGAAAATTAAAAACAAGCTATCCTAAAAAGTTGCTACAAGAAAGATACTCTTACAAAATGATGATATAAGAAAGTTAAAAACAAGCTATCTTAAAAAGTTTGTTTATTATCATCATCATTATCATCATCATCATCATTATTGCACTGTCTTGGACACCCTGAGAGCAGCTTCAATTTCTTCAAACACTGGCACAGGTCCTTCATAGTTGTTTGTTTCTATAGAATCTAACTTCTTCTGATAATCTGCTGGCAAACCATTCTGTTCTGCACCCATACAGATGACCTACAAAAAAAAAAAAAGAGTATGGATGTAAATGCCGACATTAGAGCCTCATGACTTATAAGTGTAACTGAGAAAGAGTTTAAGCTAAAACATTAGCAGAAGACAGAAAAATAACAGAGTTTCTCTCATACTACATCACTGGAAAATAACAGTGTGAATTAATTCAGCAGAGAACACAGTTTAAGAGAACCAGTGTGATGTCATAGTTAGAGAGTGCTGGACAAGAATGCTGGCACCCTGACTTCAAATTCCCACTTGGTCGTGAAGTTTGCTGGGTGATCTTGGGCCAATCGTAATCTATCAGCCTGACTGACTTCACAGCATTGTTGTGAGTACAGAGTGGGAAAGGGAAGAGTCATATTTGTCGTTTTCTGCTCACTGGGGGAACAAGATGGCATAGAAATGGAATGAATGAGTGAATAAATGAACAAACGAATGAGTAAATAAATAAATAAATATTTCCGTGTTGCAAGTTATATGATATCCCATTCTTATATACATACCACCACCTGCCATGGCATGCTCATCAAGTGGCTAACAACAAGGCCAGTGGAGGTGATGGCATTCCAGTTGAACTATTTAAAATCTTGAAAGATGATGCTGTTAAGGTGCTACATTCAATATGCCAGCAAGTTTGGAAAACTCAACAGTGGCCAGAGGATTGGAAAAGATCAGTCTACATCCCAATCCCAAAGAAAGGCAGTGCCAAAGAATGCTCCAACTACCGTACAATTGCACTCATTTCGCACGCTAGCAAGGTTATGCTCAAAATCCTGCAAGGTAGGCTTCAGCAGTATGTGGACCGAGAACTCCCAGAAGTACAAGCTGGATTCCGAAGAGGCAGAGGAACTCGAGACCAAATTGCTAACTTGCGCTGGATTATGGAGAAAGCCAGAGAGTTCCAGAAAAATATCTACTTCTGCTTCATTGACTATGCGAAAGCCTTTGACTGTGTGGACCACAGCAGACTATGGCAAGTTCTTAAAGAAATGGGAGTGCCTGACCACTTTATCTGTCTCCTGAGAAACCTATATGTGGGACAGGAAGCAACAGTTAGAACTGGTCATGGAACAACTGATTGGTTCAAAATTGGGAAAGGAGTACGGCAAGGCTGTATATTGTCCCCCAGCTTGTTTAACTTATATGCAGAATACATCATGCGGAAGGCTGGACTGGAAGAAACCCAAGCCGGAATTAAGATTGCCGGAAGAAATATCAACAACCTCCGATATGCAGATGATACCACTCTGATGGCAGAAAGTGAGGAGGAATTGAAGAACCTTGTAATGAGAGTGAAAGAGGAGAGTGCAAAAAATGGTCTGAAACTCAACATCAAAAAAACTAAGATCATGGCCACTGGTCCCATCACCTCCTGGGAAATAGAAGGGGAAGATATGGAGGCAGTGTCAAATTTTATCTTCCTGGGCTCCATGATTACTTCAGATGGAGACAGCAGCCCTGAAATTAAAAGGCGCCTTCTTCTTGGGAGGAAAGCGATGACAAATCTTGACAGCATCTTGAAAAGCAGAGACATCACCTTGCCAACAAAAGTCCGAATAGTCAAAGCTATGGTTTTTCCTGTCGTGATGTATGGAAGTGAGAGCTGGACCATAAAGAAAGCAGACCGCCGGAGAATTGATGCCTTTGAATTGTGGTGCTGGAGGAGGCTCTTGAGAATCACCTGGCCTGCAAGGAGAACAAACCTATCAGTTCTAATGGAAATCAACCCTGAATGCTCACTTGAAGGACAGATCCTGAAGCTGAGGCTCCAGTACTTTGGCCATCTCATGAGAAGAAAAGAGTCCTTGGAAAAAACCTTGATGTTAGGAAGGTGTGATGGCAAGAGGAGAAGGGGACGACCGAGGATGAGATGGCTGGACAGTGTCTGCGAAGCAACCAACATGAACCTGACACAACTCCGGGAGGCAGTAGAAGACAGGAGGGCCTGGCGTGCTCTGGTCCATGGGGTCACGAAGAGTCGGACACGACTAAACGACTAAACACAACACAAATAAATAAATAAATATTCCCGTGTTGCAAGTTATATGATATCTCATTCTTATATACATACCACCACCTGTCATGGCATGCTCATCAAGAGATGAGTATATCATATAAAAACTAACATTTAGGCATCATTGATGGCTTCTCACCAGTCATAGTGAACTAACAAGAAAGAGTTAGGGTGTGGTAAGCTTTTCAACCCCTTCACGGATTGCTGCCTTGTTGTGGCAAAGGGGCTTGAGTAATTCAGAGAAGCTATGGGCTTTGCCATGCAGGGACACCCAAGGCAGACAGGTCATAGTGGAGAGTTCTGACTAAACGCAATCCACCTGGAGCAGGAACTGGCAAGCCACTCCAGTATCTTTGCCAAGAAAACTCCATGGACAGAAACAAAAGACTAAAAGATATGACGCTGGAAGATGGGACACTCAGATCGGAAGGCGTCCAACATGCTACTGAGGAAGAATGGAGCACAAGGACAAGTAGCTCCAGAACTAATGAAGTGGTTGGGCCAAAGCCGAAAGGACGCTCAGCTGTGGACACGCCTGGAAGTGAAAGGAAAATCCAATGCTGCAAAGAAAAATACTGCATAGGAACCTGGAATGTAAGATCTATGAACCTTGGTAAGACAGATGTGGTAAAACAGGAGATGGCAAGAATAAACATTGACATCCTGGGCATCAGTGAACTAAAATGGACAGGAATGGGTGAATTCAATTCAGATGATTATCATATCTACTATTGTGGGCAAGAATCCTGTAGAAGAAATGGAGTAGTCCTCATAGTCAACAAAAGAGTGGGAAAAGCTTTA